AATAAGCATGCACACGCAGTAAGAGTCAGCGCTCAATAAGCATGCACACGCAGTAAGAGTCAGCGCTCAATAAGCATGCACACGCAGTAAGAGTCAGCGCTCAATAAGCATGCACACGCAGTAAGAGTCAGCGCTCAATAAGCATGCACTGTGTGGTATACATGGAAGGTGGTAGAACGATATTTAGTGATATTTAGTAATGAGGGAGTGTAGGACCTATCAAGTTGAACTTAATGTTGTAAAACAGTAATTTGCATTAGCATGTGGGTTGAATGGTCTTACCCGACAGCATAAAGGGAATGGACAGGTCTTTTCCAGTCTCTCCTGGCTGCCTGCTCCCTGATTAGGTGCTCAGCATAATGGTAGGTCAGCTCACCAGGCTTGCCCATTAAGGCCTCATATTTCAAGTCTTTTCCAGTTATCTTTTTATAGATGTTCTCTAGACAGACCAGGAAAGTTCCATGGCCAAATCTGTGTTTGCGAAAACCAGGAGAGACAAATTAGAAGAGCCAAAATGCCTGAACCATAATTGCTGAATCTCTGAATAAGCGATGTCCAATTAGGCCATTTAAGGATGCAGGATCTATTATATATATATATATATATAGAAAATGCAGTTTCCTGTCACATATATTAAGAATCTAACAGATTTAGCTGCTTAACCTGCTCACTAAATTTTCTGCTTCTGGCTTTTATACTGCAGGCAAAATTCAAGAATAAAATGGCAAAAATCCAGGCAGAATGCATGGTATTCGGTAGTGATAGGAGGAGGAAATTGCGATACACACAGCAGAGTGTCACCCAGCTGCTGCCATTCACACTATCTAGCTGTGTCCTTTTTTATGAACATTAACCCTGACTCTCTGAACACCACTGAAGGCCTGAATACGGGCAGCTTAGAAGGAAGGCCCCGTATCATCATCTTGCAGTAGCAGGCCATGACAGTGTCCTTCATATCTCGACCCTCACCAGACATCATTTTGCAACGTCTACACACCCCTGGTTGTTACCGTGGTGATTGGGCTTCTGCCATCCATATGAGGTCCATGTTGCAGGCCAGCAGAGGAATGTGAGGGACCTTCAAGGTCTGATGCGGACTGCTTAGGTTTCCATTAGTCAGCAGGACATCGATGATCAGCTGCAGGTTTGTCTCCCATCGAATGGGCTCCCCAAAGAGGATGACAGCTATCACGCAGTGGGGGGGGGGGGGGGGGGGGTTACACTTTCAGCAGCGCAATAACCCAAATGCATAAATAGTGTCCTACAAAAACATCTAAATGAATCTGAGGATTTGCTGTTAATTAACAGAGTTAAAAAAACAGAGGACAAACTTTTTTTTTTTCCCTCAGTATTAACTCTAAATTCTTCTCTGTCTCTCAGCAATTGCTTAGTTTAGCAGGTCTGCTTAAGTGAAAGCCTGACACTCATTTTCCGGTCTTTTGCGCATTTCATGCCTTTGTTCTAATAACAGCAATGTAAACATCTAGATGAGACACGAAACGCATGACAAAGTTAAATTCTATTATTAAGCCCTGCTCCAAAAACAACTCTGAAATTTACCTATGCATGAAACTATGGATTATTTTGAAATAAGTCTGGCTTCCTTGGAGAAAAATCTTTTCCAGTATAATTCAACATGCAAAATAAATGTGCATTTACCTTCAATATTAGGTAGATTTACAATGGAGGATGACTACGATGACAAACAAAAAAAGAAACAGGACTCATTAGGGACTTTGCAACTGGAGCCAACAAGACAAAATCAAAATTAAAAGACAAAATAAAAAAAAAAATAATAATAAAAAAAACATACAGCAGCTCGGCAGCTGGATTTGATCTCTGAACTCACTGGAAGTTTCGGTCGTCGGCTGTGATCGACCATGTCGAGGAGTGGAAAGGCCTCCCTCAGCATGTCAATGCTGACCACCTTCTGGAAACCCAAGCTACACATGGATTAAGTATATATAAACCGGGCTCTTCAAATCCGGGCCCCCCCATTCCAAATCCAGGTCATGTTTACAGTTTTCCCAAGTAGTTAGTTTACTAATTACTCATTCTGCTTGGCCAGAATCACACCAGGCTCACAGGTAATGGAAGGCTGGAAAACCAGCAGGGCTCGGCCACTGAGGACCACGATTTGAATTGCCCTGACATAAAAGTTTGAAAATCGGGCGGCACATAGAACAAATGTTAAAATGTCCCTATCACAACAGCGACGACAGAGGCAATTCTGAGCATGCCTATCACCCTATATTTAATACAAAAACATCGTGTACCAAACCCACAGAGGCAACAAGACATAACATGCCAAAGCAGCAGTAATACAAGACATGCTTCCCTGTGTGACTATAACTCTTGGATGCCCCCATGTGGATATGTAAGGGAGGGCCATGAAACCGTTTCACAAGGAACCACAATAAATGATTACAATGATTATATATCTATGGAAGTTTGGCCATAATTATAAGCAATCTTGATAGAAACAGTCTACTTCAACTAAAAGAAGGATACTTCTTGGCAATGTCCAGAACTGGGCCTTGCCCAGACACCAAAACACACTTCTCATGGTACTTCCTGAACATTCGCAGAGGACTGTGTGACATCAGGACCTGATCCTGGGTGATCTGAGACAAAAAGAATCATGTTCGATGCATTTTACTTTGAAAATAACCACAGCAAGGGGCACTGTTTTTTTTTTTTATATATAAATAATTATATTATTTTAAATAATATAAACTTACTACCAAGTTAAATAGCTTTAAACAATTTCTTTCCCATACTGCACATATGGTCCTTTATCTGGTGTGAACCAAACTATGTGAATGCAGAATACTGTTCTGATTTCTTAATTCTTTATGAGAAAGGAGTAGAGATATTACCCCCCCTTCAGAATCTGTGGGGAAAGCCTGGTGACGCCCTCATACACATAGCTAACAGTAATGAGCCTCGTCAGTCTCTCTTTTCCGTAAAATACAGCACATTAGGAGATCAGCAACAATGTATCACAAACCCCAAAGAACGAGCAAAGGCTCGCGTACAATTTTATTAGCAGCCTCAACATTAAATTTGATGGACTGTCATGTAGAGATATATATACATGCAAGTCAGAGTCATGATGCACTATGAGAATTCAGCTTTGGTTCAGTTATTTATTATTACTACACAAAGAAGTTACTCTTGCCAAGATAAAAATACATAATAAATTACTGGCTGTGACAGCAATAATATAACAAAGTAGAAATATCCAAATTATGACAGATGACAAAATGGTTCTGCTGAAAATATTTTGCTTCTCTGCCAAAAGAGAACAGCTTCCCTCTTGCCAAGGAGATAGAGACTGTCACTTACCCGCACCCCCAGGAGATGCGACAGCTGATCTGCTTTCGTCTGCCGAAGGCAGTTCCCTGCATTTGTGACAAAAACAATAGGAGCCACAAACTGGCCCTGCAAGTTGATCAGCTTTTGAAAAGCTCTCTTGGCAGCCGGAATTGGCGTCTTCCCCCGGACGAGCACACCATCGATGTCAAACAGCAGACCGAAGCTAGGAGAGATCTGTGAAGGAGACATTCCAGGTTTTAAAAGTCTTCATGGGAATTTATATGTTAAATGCCAACCAAGACAGTACAACATGTATTAACAACATTCTATTAGTACATCCATTAATTTTCCACTGATTCAGTACAAGGTTACAGCGAACCTGGATTTTTTTTCTTATAAAGGGCACGAGAATTTCCTGACCCGATGCCAGTCCATCACAAGGCACACATTCACACAAACACACACTATGAGCGATTAGGAGACCCCAGTTTGCCTGCCCGCATTCTCTTGGGCCGTGAGAGGAGTCACACATAGGGGAACTGAAGTTTTCAAAGGGGAAGAGTTTCAAGGGCATAAACCAACTACCTACTGTTAGTTCATATTAATAAAACTGCCATTTATACAGGAATTTAATTACCTTTTAGGTACGTTTCTTACACGTCTGTAAATACAGAAGGGTCTTCATGTTCTTTAAAAACAATACAAGCTCACTCTTTCACAGGAGGATGCAGAGGAAAAAAAACAAATCGTCAGAATGGTGAAACCCACTAATTTTAGATTTTGCATCAAATAAAACAAATTTCATTGGATGGATTTAAAAATCAGAGGTTTTAGCACACATTTGTTGTACTATCATGGTTTCCCATTCTCAAGAAGTCATAATTTCTCTATAAATATAGGAAAAGAAAGGATGTAAAAAGAATATTATGTGAACATTACACCTGACACAGGAGGCACGTTTAGGGGGGAAAAAGGAATAAAATTAAAAGGATTCATTTTCATGACATTTCTTGTAAACCTGAGTATCAAGCACTAACAACAGAACCACTATTTTCTAAAATGTACATGGTTGATAGTTATTTTTCACACTGATAATAAGTGCAGTTATCAAAATTCGGCTGATAACTACAATGTAAGAGCAAATGGGGAAGGTATCTATATACAAGAAATGAATGGGGTGGGATTTATGTGTAACCTTCGGGTGTTAAAAAGGATACCAAACAAGCAGTACGCACTTCATTTATAATCGATTACCAAACGGTAAATATATCCAAAGGAATGTCTGTTCCCCGTTACTAATAAAAGGGCTTAAGGTGACCTTCATTGTGTTTCCGCCACCTGTGCGTAACACAGGTACATGTCATATGTTTGTGTGTATATGAATAATATGAATTTGACCCAAGGCTGGCTGAAAATTCTGTTAGTAAGCATACAAACTCAAGTGTGTATGACCAAAGCATTTCTGTTCTCCCTTTACAATACAGGCCTTTTAACCATCTTTGTACTTTAAATAGTAGATGAACTGCAACACATATGTAGTGATAAATATGTCGATCACGTTTAAACACTTTAGTCATTTTCAGTTATTTTTATAGACAGATTAATTGACGTTTGGAAAGCAATCTATTCTGGTGGAATGAGTTAATATCGTTTGGTGAAGTCCAATCGCCATCCTTGAAATCAGTTGACAATAGCAGGGCACCGCATGACAAATACTCTTAGGCTGCTCCTCTTCCTCACCGGACCGACTAAGAAACGCAGGAACTATGAAATTACACCGATTACGCAGAATCAGCGAGATTGTTGCGATTAGTTATAATCTGCCGTGTTGACATTATGTTGGTTTCAATTCCTCCAACGAAACAAACATGAATGATGGCCTGGGGTGTTGTCAGAAATAATCATACTTTACATTACAGCAAAAACGCCATAGATACAACCTCCTGGGCACGACTGGAAAGCGAGTCCTAAGTCGTTATAAAGGACCGGTGAGTTTACCAGCAAAACACCGGTTAAATACAATAACATAGCCAATGATTATAGTATTCTGTTCATAACTGGTATCTAGTAAGCATTTCAGTAGTTTTTTCCTCCCTATACTGTCGATGATGTAAGCCAAATAATAAATCACCTTAGGAAATAGATTGGATGATACAATGTAGTTAGCGTGTAGGACCGCATTCTGCCCCCTACCTCGCTGTCAGACGGAGACCCGCGGGGTCCGAGCTGTAGGAACCGAGTCCCTCGCCCGACTTGCCGGCTGCACAAGTCGTTAACTGCCTGGTAAAAAGATAACAAAGCTTTCATTTCTGACTGAGGAACTGGGACAATACAGTCCCCCCCCCCGCAAAACAGCAGCTTGATGTGATCGGCTTTTTCTTTCCTGTCCTCTTCCTCCATAGATGAAGGGAAGGCCAGATGACGACAGAAGAGGAGGAGTCCCCACACCGCACGGGGGTGGGAAATACTCATTATAGGGGCAATAATGGGGGCAGAAACATTCCCTGCCATATTGCGCAAATCACACGACATTTAATAGAACAATAATCAGCTCTGATGATGGGTCACATTAAGACAAAAAGTTTTACTTTGCGCAGTACTGCTCGGAGAAAAAAGATAAAAAAATAAACTCGTGTCTTCTCAAAATGTTCATCAAAACCTGCGTTGTAGTGTAGACTTGAAAAGGTATTTAAAATAAATAAATAATGGATTGTCCTATATTGTCTAAATTACCATACCATGGAGCAAATCAGTAATTCTACCCATCGATATTTTCTACCGTTTGTAAACCAAGCGTTTTCAACCTGCAGAAACAGACCGACATCGTGTCGGTGGTCTTACTATTCGGTTTATGCGAATCTTCAAGAGACCCCGCTTTGAGACAACAAGCGCTGCAGTCCTTCAGTTATATAAGCATTCCATTCGGTCTGCAGAATAGAATAAAATAGAACACAAATTGGTTCAGAACCGAACACAAGATTTTATTTTTCAACAGATCTACGTGACGATCACGTGAAATATGAGATGGGCGGCACGTCTAGGGTAAGATTGTATTAAACAAGGTTATTTCAGGCTTCTTCTTTTTTTTTTTGCTCAGCCCCCCTTAAGCTCGTGCATTAAAGGCCTCCTGGTTATTAGAGGTTAGAGTTTCAGGTGTTTTTGCTCAAATCTAATTGAAAATGCAGAGATCACTAAACGCTGCTGAGCACTGAGCCATATGTAAGCCAGTACATATATTTAACATTGCCTGCCCCGAGTCTAATGGTATGCGAGTTTGTGAATGGAAAAAGATTAAATGCATTATTATGTATATTATATTGTAAAGGCATTAACGTACAACTCAGTGTTTGAGGCGTCTACGTGTACACGGTTTCTCCAATTGTCTGTACCTTTCTCATCTTTCTAATGCTCAACAATTTTAAGAATAGTTATTAAAATAAATCTTTATTAGTTCCAGTTAACCCCCCCCCCCCCTGCATTGAACAAGTGGCTTCAGAACATGGATGGATGGATGGATGGATGGATGGTTCCAGTTAATAATAAGCATATAGGTCTGAAGCCACTGAGGCAAATATTAGAGCATCTGTCTGCTGGGAATCTTGCTGACTGTTGTGTTGAAAGGTGTATCATTGCTGTTAAGCTTTGTGGTTATCAACCCCTTTCAAAATCAGAATACTCCTGGTCAGAGACATTAGTATAGCTCACAATATAGTGCCTTTAATTTGGCCTTAACAAGTATGAAACAAATCATAAGCAGTTTTATCTCCAGTTCTGCAGATGTTTTCCTTCATCTTCAGTTGGGTCAATCAGTACCATGGTCTTTGTGGGCATGTAGACAAACTAAATATGTGTTAAATTCATCATAAATAAGGTCATGGAAGACATGGCACGAGGAACACGGGTGGATTGGTAATTCACAAAAAGAAAGCAATTTAACAAAAGAATAAACATAGAAAGTCAACTTATCAAAAACACAGCTAACCATGTAACAAACCAAACAAACTGACCGTCTCCTAGACAAGACACCATGAGGGCTATATACTGATTGACCAAACCACAAGACACAAAAGGGGTAAGAACAATAAGAAATACCACAAATAATCAAAACAGAACAGTTATAGCAAATCAAAACAAACAAAATCAAATCAAGTTAAATTCCAAACATATACCTGAACAATAAAAAGTAGCTAAATGCAAACTATTCCACCCCCACCACAGAACAGCCCGTTGGAGTTGATATGTGGCGTGGAAGAGGCTGTGAAGGACTCCTGTGTACCTGATCCCAACAGAGGTCTGCAGGAGACATCACCGCCACCATCTTGAGTCCTGATGACCCCAAGCAGTGGCTGTGTCCTCACGGACGCAGTACTGCAGGTACGAAGGGACACAATAACAACGATCCGAGAGGTGGTGTGGGAACTCACTGAAGGGATAAATCAAAGGGATTTTAAACGACATATCTGTTTCATTAACGGAACTTGTTATAAGACATACCGTTGATCTTGTTCTTGAAAGGTGATGCATCACATTTGCACAGAATGCCACAGCTGAAGGGGCAAGGGTTCATTTGGTATGTTGGGCTGTAAATTTTCTGTCATCTGTCTGCAGCTAATGGGAATGAGGGGTTTGCCGGCAGTTCCTCTGTGGCACACTGTGCGGCACGGCACATGCCACTACGATGCTAAAGCTTTGGCTGTGTTGTGCAGCAGTATGTCACTCCCCACACGTCCAGACACTGTCACCTGCCCCTGATGAGCCCAGCTGTGTACTGCAGAACCGACTGCACCTTCAATTCAAGATTCTTTAATTGTCACATACATAGTTATACAAAGTACAACACGTAGTGAAATGCACCCTGAACCGCTCTTTTTGCAGACTGTGCAAGCAAATCATTGTAGAGTCTCTCCTCCTTCCTCTGGAGTCGACACAAAAGGACTAGGAGCCAGAGTATGAAGGGGTAGCCACTGTCCCCTGCAGACATGAGGCAATGATTAAGGCTGCTAAAATGAGATACTTTGAAAAAGAGAACTTGGCAAAAAAAAATATTTCTGAGCTCTGGAGGGTTTGTGTAGTTCACACACTAAATTTCAAAATCAAATCAACATCAAAAAATCAACACAATTTCAATTAAAATGGATAAAACGGAAAGACACATACATTATGCATGCCATCGCCCGGCTGTGAAGGAAAATAGAACAATCAGGAAGGAGTATTTGACCGATTAGATTTGATTTGGTGCAGCTGGCTGCAGGTGCCCTCCTTAGTGGCACAATCACATGGCACAGACCGCTTCCTATAAAGTGTACTTTCAGGATTTAAATTAAAGGCACTGCCATCATTAGCTCACAGGAGATTACATTTCTGGGGGGGGAAATTTAGCAGCCAGGGCAGATGAATCTAAATAGTTTCTTTAAAATAAATAAAACACATTTGTTAGAACATATATGTATAAAATATTTAAAGTAGATAATTATATCAAGGTCTAGGTCACATTAAGTAAGCTTAAAAAAATCTACACATGATTTTAAGATGTATTTTAAAAGTATTCTATGGAAGTATATCTACTTCTGAAGTGATTGTATGTAAAAAATGAATTGCAAACCTGAAATCATATTTGTTAATCTGTAACTTGACCTGTAGGCAAAGGTTTTGCATGTATACTGCTACTGTGATTCAGAGATTCACGCATTCAGTTCACACTTATACGTGCCGCATTCTAGGTTTACACATTTTTATTTTAGGAGAGTACAGTAGTCCAGTTTGTAGTCACTAATATGCAGTTGATTCATAGGCATAGGTACAGTAGACTGTGCCTGCTAATCACCTACTTATAGTTTTTACATCATTGTCAACATAAACCGGAAGCAGTGCAATTTGTTGGCATATCATTGAAACCAGATTGTTTCTCTAGAGCTCTCCATTTGGTCATTTATTGGGAAACTGTTCACAGATTTTGACTAACTGTACCCAATATTAGCCATAACCAATTCACAGGCACAATTACCACTATGTTTTCTGTGTTGAACATCTACTTGTTAATTTAGCTTCTGTCTGTGTCGTTAAATGTATTCGTTCATTTCATTGTGAGTACCAAACCAAAAATGATGCTCCGAAAGGAACACTACAAATATGTGTACGCTTAGAGCACTATTCTCCACTCAAACCCACAAGCCTAGAGCTATAAGGGCGAGTGCTACACCCTGGGTCACCATCTCATCCCCAATGTGAATAATTTAATCATCGCTATTATATACAAGAAATGAATTAGAAATACTTAACCATCCAAAGAGCAAATACAATTACAGTACAACAATCAAGAAGTATTCAGTTTGTAGTATTCAAAGTATTTGACCTGTTAGAAAATTAGATGTAGAATGTAATTAGTACATTTCATTTTGTTAATGTACAGATGAGTGAGCTCCATTTCCTAGCCTGACCTTGTGATTCCTTCCAGTGTGCCAAGAATCAGGGACATGACTGCAGCAGTTGTATGCAGCAGCAGTTTCATCACGAGTCACATGAGGACACTAGAAAACCAACAAAATAGGAAGCATGAGTGTAGGGGCCAAGACCATCTGTATGAAAAGGACACAGATGATTAAGCAAATAGTATGAACAAGGGCATTATCCTATTGGACTGGGAATATGGTCCCATTGTGAGCAGAAGCACAAGTTCAATATCACATCACATGCAGACCATCAATTCAGAATGCGATTATCACATAAAGGGTCCATCCTGTGCCAAACACTCCCCTCACAAGCATTTGAATGTAAAATGTGCAGCCATGACTTTCTCCACTACGTGAACCATCCTTCACTGCAATCATTGATCAAGTTTTTACTTACAGCCATATCCAGCGAGGTTGGCTACAGTGCCATATTCTTTAAACGTCTTAATAACATAATGTATAGGGTGGAAACACCAAGGTCTCTGGAAGTGGGACTTGTAGCCTTGCAAATGTCCTTGCTTGGCTACAAGTTTGTGCCTGACCTCCTCAGATAATTCTTTGCTCAATGGTCATTGGATTATACACAGTAGTGGAAAAAGGAGAGTGTGTGTGGATGCTGCAGCTCATGACAGAGCAGTTAGATCATCATGTAAAGTAGAATCACCTGCTTGAACTCTAAGTACTTCCAGAAAGTGCCTGAATATTGTCCTGACCATGTTAGAATTTCTTGTCCAGTGTTTTGTTGGTTTGTACCACTGGAAACCTATCCATCTATCCATCCATCCATCCTCCACTCCAAGTTCATGTTGCAGGGGCAGCAGTTGAGCAGAGGTGCCCAGACCTCCTTCTCCCACGCCACCTCCTCCAGCTCCCCCAGGGGAATCCCATGGTGTTCCCAAGCTAGCCGAAAAAATTAATCTCTCCAGGACGTCTTGGGTCTGTCCCAGGGTCTCCTAACATCATAAGGGTCTGGTACAATGTGGATCAGGTGGCAGTTGAAGGCAGAAGCTTTGACAGACTGAAAACTAAAGAAATGTAAATGTGGATAGAAGAAGAAATGGTGAATTATTTGTGAATTATTTGCATTTAAGTGCATGAGGGCCAATATTTTGGCAACAAACTTGGACAACAAGACTGAGGTGAAGGCATAGAACCAGCACAATCAGCACTTTAGTGTGATACTAACAGTCTCTCCGGAAAGGCAGATTGTGGAGACATTTTAATTGTTCGCAATCTAATATCGTCAAATTGCACACTCCTACTTAAAGAATTCAATGTGTGGGTAAAATACTTGCAATTTTGCTGCAGGTATTTTGGCAAATAAACAATATAAAACCTTTTATGTATTATTGATTGCAGGTACACAAATGCTCTGACTGGGCCTCATTCACAACAATTTTATTATGTGCATCTGCTTCAGGCCCCAGCTCTTCTTCTGACGCCACAATGCTGCAGTCCTTCAGGTGACACTGAAATCCTTCAGGTGA